GTAATTCGATTTTTTTTTTTTATTTTTTAAAATTCTAAGTTAAGACATTAGATGTCCAATAGTAGTATTGAGGAAGAACTTCCTTCCCTTAGCACTGTTAGGCGTCGTCTTATTAGACAATCGTTGGGGAAAGACCTTGGCCGATCTGGAGGGACTGATTCTTCCCTTTCTGACAATATTGACGATCCATTTCAGCCGTTATCCCTAGAAGAACAAAAGAAAGCTTTTTACCGTCACAAATTGTTAGCCGACTGTGAGAAGGCTACTCGCCCTGTTAATCTTTGTATTCCGGAAGACATTGAAATTCTTGATATCGAACCGGTTAACGTCCGTTATCATCTGAGGATTTTTGATAATACACGCTTTGATCAATACGGTTCTAACGTCGGGAATATTGGTGTAAGTATCACTTCTATGCCGAGAATGAAGCAAACAAGTTATCAGCCCGAAGTTGCCGCCAGAGAAGCTGCGGAATCAAGCAAAAAACCTGGGCAAGGCCAAGTGGTAAGCCCTAGATCCTCCGACTCCGATAAAGAGGAGCATCCTCCAACTCGGCTAGAAGACCAATCATCTCCTGTTCACGAGTCTGCAGTAAATTCGGTTCTTGGGGATGAGGATGATAACAATTCTGATGATGAGAGCAGGGACGATGTTGTTGACTTAACGGCAGAGGTAATTCAATAGGAGAGATTAGACGAGGAGTATAACTCTGAGACTGATGACGATGATTTTCGGCAACCTCTTATTTTATCAAGGAACATTAAAGTAGCGAAAGCTATAATAAACGAAAAATTCAGAAAAACTGCAATAGAAAAAGATTATTGTCGTCGTGCTAAACGATTTTATAACCTACCTGATGGTTATAACCTTTATCTCCCAGCCGCGGGATCTTCTGTACTAGATTGCCCTGCTGGCCATGTTGCCGTTTACGCTAAGCACTTTGATTTTGGCTTACGGTTTCCACTTCATCCGTTCGTGGAAAAAATTTTAAAAGCTTGGAACGTATGTTTAGTCTAGATAACCCCTCCCACAGTTCGTGTCGTAATCGCCCTTGTGTGGGTTATGCTGTATAGGAATTTTCCTCTAACTCTTAATGCTTTTCGGAAGCTCATGACCTTAAAAAGAGATGGTCAATATGAGGGCTTGTGGTCTTTATATACTGCTTCTAGGAAATACATAGTTCACCCCAAATTATCTAGTTGTAAAGGGTGGCAAGACAAGTTTTTCTTTTTATCTGTTCCCGATGATTATCCTATTCGGAGAACTTTTTACCGGCCACATCCTCGATTTGACACTATTCCTGAGAGGGAACTTGGCCGTCATGAACTTAGGGCCGTCAACTATTTTGACATTGTTGAATCCAAGGATGATGAAGGTAGATCTCGCCTTGCTCCAAAGGTGTGGGTTCCTAATGCGGGGTACATTCTCGGCAATGCCCCATTGTCACATGTTGGTCTATGCTGTACTGACTGTTATGGTATTAATCCAACATTTATTATTATTTTTATGATTTTACTTTCTGTTGCCTTATATTTCTGCCTTATCATCTTAATATAACTTTAACCCCTATTATATATATATATATATATATATATATATATATATATATATATATATATATATATATATATATATATATATATATATATATATATATATATATATATATATATATATACAACAGGTGTCGATAAACTAGACAATAAGCAGCTTGGATTGTCTGCTGACGGGAAGAGAGTCATTCGGAGGTGTCCTAGAGCTCCCAGCTCCAGTTATGACATGCTTGCCTCCTATTGCAGCCGCGCTTCCCCAGTCAATCCCAAAAGAAAAGCTAAAAAGATGGCTGACGACCAATCAAAGAAGAGAAAGCTATCAACTTTGAGAAACCGTCGGGGTGGCAATGTCGGAGTAGTCAACACTAGACTATCCGACATCCAATCTGAGAAAAAATCGAGGGAGAATGACAACCAGACTAAACGTTCCTCTCCGTCTTCAAAGCCTGCTACAATAGAAGACAAGACAGTGGTTCAAAGTTCTGAACCAATTACTAAGAAGATGACTGATGGGGTGGAGATTGAAGATCTCACTCGAACCTCCGAGTCTCCCCCTCTTCAACCTAATGAGACAATACCACCAGTTGGCCAAAATATCCCCATCACGGCCGGTGGTTCAGACACCAGCATTCCTGGGCTTATTTATCGGTCTCATCAATGGATCGAGTGCCTTGAAGGGAGATTTCGAAAGTTGTTTTGAGAGGGTTCTCTGTTCTCCCTGGCCATTCGGGAGATCGATGGCAGCCAAATCTCGATGTGTACCGAAATGAGTCTCTCTACACCGACGACCCAATGCAAGGTGGGAATCTCGGCTACCGCCTTTTGTGCAACTTGGCTCCTCCCCTGGATAGGCCTGTGGGCGAAATCGGTCCCCTCGCTGCTGTTCATATGCATAACATGATGAAGGTACTCAATTTGCACTTTGTCCCCTTACTTTTTATATATCATTTTGTTTATACACACACATATCTTTTTATTATAATATTTTATTTATGTATGCGAAATTGTGTTTTCTTTTCGCCTTTTATTGTATCGTCCTTACGTTGTCGTCTATGCTCTTATGTATGGACGACTTTTTAACGCAGACTGTTATGTCCGGTACCGAGCTTGTTAAGATGTACCGCTATTACCAGGAGCAACATCATCATTCTTCTGCCAACTAAAATTCCTTACAAACCACCTTGGACAATGCTGACAAGGCTTTAAATCTGCTGAAAGAAGCTAAGAAGAGGGATGACCTAGAGTTGGCATCTCTAAAGGATAAAGCTGTCAAGCTCGAGGGACTCGAGAAAGAAGTCCAATAGCTAAAGGGTCAAATTGCCGAGAAGAACCTTGCTCTTGAGCGTCTTCCCTCCCTTGAGAAAGATCTCAATGACTCCAAGGCAAAAATTTAAAATCTTGAAGAGAAGGTTTAGAAGATGGAGGCTGACAAGCCCGGCATTCGGCAAAGAATTCTGCACGCGGCTCCAAGACCGCTTTGATGGAGGTTGGACAGCCGCTCAGAGGTGCATTGCCCATGCTGCCGGCTGGAAGAAGGAGGATTAGGCTAAGGTTGAAAAAGACTTTGACAACGAAGCCTACAAGATACCTTTCGGCTTTGAACAACAGCAATTTGCTAAGGAAGATTTGTTTAACTATGAGCCGAGCGCTGTTGAAGGCCCCAAAGATCCCAGCATTTTAGATTCCCCAGCATCTGATAATAAACAAGCTTGAAAGGGCGGGCAATCATCACCGACATCTTCTTGCGGGTCTTGTGTTGTTGGACCTTATCAGTCTTAGTTTGAAATGTTTTTCTTGTTTTTATCAAACTGTTTCTTTGTTTATCAATGCTGCTTTATCGGCATATACCCTTTTTTTGGTGGTGCATGTCGATTGTTATCTTTTACTGTTTCAGACATGTAGTTGCTTTTTCCGTTTTAATAATTTATACTATGTTATTTTCATGACTACCAATTTCATATGTTAGTTAACTGCAACTCTTGCCTTTCATTACAAACTTTGTACATAGATCATTGCACTAACAAGTTATCTAACCAATTCGCATAGTTACGATATTACTGGGCTTAACTCCCTAATTTCGCTTTTTAGGCTTAACGCCCTAATTTTGCTTTTTAATTTCGACCTTTTTAATTTCGACCTGTCAGTAAGGCAAAGGAGATATTAAATTAACTCTTTTTCCCCATACTTCCTGCCCCCCTAGTGCATATGTTTGTTAAACAACTATATGCACTAGAACGCAATTTCCGTTGCCGATTCAGAGTATAATACCGGTCGCTTACTGCACCAACTTCATAGTCAGTTAATCACCCTCTCGGTGATCATTATCAAAGCTACGCCTCTTGTCGGCGTATACTTGATTTGATTTTACCGGAATTATATTTTGAACCAGCAACCTCGTGAGTTAATGATCACAACTGATCAGGTTGCGAGTACATTACCCTCACGTAAGCGGTTTTTAGCTGTCCTTCCCACTTAACGATGATTTGTTAAGTAGAGGATGCCTTTTTCAATAGTAGAATTTGTAACCGATAATTTGTATATATTCACTGTTAATACTGCTGTTATTAACATTAGGTTTGCTGATTATAAAATTTCTTCATACTTCTTACACATAATACTTTTTTAGTACTGCAATATTCCAAACATTTTTCAATGGTTTTCCATCCATTGTCTCTAAGTAAAATGATCCTTGCACCACCATGTCTCTTATCCGGTACGACCCTTCCTAATTTGCCGTTAACTTTCCATCTTCACTACCTTTCCATGTGGCCGCTGTTCTTCGCAACACCAAATCACCTTTACTCAAAGGTCGATATGCAACCCGTTTGTTATACGCTCTTGACATTATTTTTTTTAAGGCGGTTGATTTGACTGCTGCTTTTTCCCGTATTTCAGGGAGAAAATCTAACTGTTGCCGTAATAACAAATCATTCTGATCTTCACAGTGATGCTGAATTCTGAATGTTGACAACCCTACTTCTGCTGGTACCACCGCTTCTGTTCCAAACACTAACGTGAATGGTGATTCTCCTGTTGCTTCTCTCACTGTCGTTCTATTTGCCCATAAAATTTCCGGTATCAAATCAGCCCATAAACCCTTTGCATCCTCTATCTTCTTTTTGATTGCCTCTTTAATTTGCTTGTTTGCCGATTCCGCCTGGCCGTTTGATTGGGGTGGCATACCGCCGCATACGCAAACTTCACTTTATACATAGACAACAAATCCTTTACTGGTTTACAGTCAAACTGAGATCCATGGTCAAAGACCATTGCCATCGGTAACCCAAATCTTGTGAAAATATTTTTCCAGATTAACTTCTTCAACTCTGACATTGTTATCTTTACTACTGGCTCCGCCTTTATCCATTTTGTAAAATAATCCACCCCCACTATGAGAAACTTTCTTCCGCCCGTTGCTGAGGGAAACGACCATACTATATCCATTCCTCATTGTGCGAAAGGGATTAGATTAAGTATTGGCATTAAATCATTGGGCGGCAAATTGATAGCGGGTGCAAATTTCTGACATTTCTGACATTTCTTCACATACTTAACAACATCTTCGTTCATTCTCGGCCAGTAATATCCCAGAGCTTCCCGTGACAATGCTCTTGCCCCAAGATGATTTCCGCATGTTCCTTCATGTATCTCCTCAATTAACTTGACAGATTCAAGATCCGTTATGCACCTTTGTAACGGCAACGAAAATCCTCTCTTGTACAGCTGGCCTTGATACATTATGAACCACACGCTATCCCTGCGTAGTTTTCTAGATTCTTCCTTATTAGGGGGTAAAACTCCATACAGTAAATACGCCAGTATCTTGTCAAACCATTCAATGTCGTTATCGACACAGCACACTTCCTCTGATTTCTCTTCTATACTTCTATGTCTTAACACCTCCACCATAACTATTCTCTCCAAGTCATTAAAACTTGAACTTGCCAACCTTGGCAAGGCATCAGCCTGTGCATTTTGTGCTCTCGGCACTAGCTTGATTTCAAAATACTGCAACTGTACTATTAATTGCTTCATCTTTTCAATATATTTTATCATTGTTGGCTCCCTCGTTTCATACACCCCAGTATACTTGCTGGATACTAGCTGGGAATCGGTGGTCAAAATTATTCGCTTTGCTTCAGCTGCCATCGTTAACTGGATCCCTGCTATGGCTGCCTCGTACTCAGCTTCATTGTTAGTGGCCTTGAACTTAAATTTGATTTCATACTCAAAAGTTTTTTCATCTGGGGTTGTTATCACTATCCCTGCCCCTGAACCAGTTGATGTTGCGGATCCATCTACTGATACCTGCCACACTGCAAACTAATTGTAAGTATTTAATACATTTAATATTTTTGTATCTTAAATGTTTAACTTTAAAACTTGTAATTGATTTTTATATTATAAGTATTGGATTATAAACCACTAAAACTTGCCAAGTTCCCAATTCTTCTTCTTCGTCATTGTACGTGGTTTCCACAATGAAGTCAGACAAGGCCTGTGCTTTTATTGAAACTCTGGGCTTATAATTTATCTCATACTCTGACAGCTCCACATCCCACTTTAACAGTAAACCTGATGTATCCATCTTGCGCAAAGATTTTTCCAACGGATGGTTTGTCAAGACATCCATCGGATGTGAATCAAAATACGACCTCAATTTTCTAGCCGCTGTGACCACTGCCAATGCCATCTTTTCTATTATCGGATACCTACGCTCAGTCGCACTTAGAACATGACTGACAAAATACACCGGCATTTGTATCTTCTTCCTTTCTATCAATAATACTACAGCTATCGTCTTTGGGGAAGCCGAAGTATATAGTTGTAACAACTCCCCCCTTTCTGGCCTTGCCACTGTTGGAAGGGACCTTAAATTGTTTCTCACCACTTCTAATGCATCCCTTTGCTCCTTTCCCCACTCAAATGCCTTGTTCTGCCTTAAAGCCACAAAGAACGGAAGTGCTTTGTCAGCTGATTTACTGATGAATCGAGTTAACCCTGCCATCCTTCCGGTTAACCTTTGTATATCTCGGATAGTTTTCGGTTGTTTCATCTCAAGCACTGCATTCACCTTATCGGGATTAGCATCTATTCCCCGTTCACTAACCATAAAACCCAAGAACTTCCCTAATCAAACGCCAAATACACATTTCTCTAGGTTCAACTTCATCTTATATTTCCGCAATGTCTCAAATGTTTCCTTCAAATCAGCTATGTGATCCTTCTTTTCTCTACTCTTAACAATTGTATCATCTACATACACCTCTACATTTCGGTCCTTCTGCTTCTCAAAAATTTTGTCAACTAACTTTTGATAAGTTGCTCCAGCGTCCTTTAACCTAAATGGCATTGCCTTATAACAATATACACCCACATCTGTAATGAAGGCCGTTGTTGGTCTATCTACCTTATGGAGACTGACCTGATGATAACCTGAGAAAGCATCCAAAAAACTGAGCATTGCATGACCAAAAGTAGAGTCTACCAATCTATCTATCCGAGGCAACAGATAACAATCCTTGGGACAAGCCCTATTCAAGTCGGTAAAGTCTACACACATTCGCCACTTCCCTGTTGGTTTTCTCACCGTGACAACATTTGCTAACCACTCTGGATATGTGCACGACTCTATAAACCCTGCTGCTAAAAGCTTGTTAACTTCTGCTTCTATGGCTTCTATCTTTTCAGTAGAAAACTTTTGTTTTTTCTGCCTTATAGGCCTAAACCCTCTGTTGACATTCAACTTATGCTCCATTACCCCAGGGTGGATTCCCGACATTTCACTTGCCGAGAAGGCGAATACATCGGCGTTCTCGCACAACAAACTTATTAAATGACACCTCATATCTATATCCATATCTTCCCCAACCTTCACTGTTCGACTAGGATCTCCTGGTTGTAACTCTATCTGCATTGTTTCACCTCCCGGCAACGGCCTTGGAGTTGCTTCCGGCCTTGTATCAAAGTTACTCATGGCCAGATCTCGTGTCGTTGGCTCCAACTCTTTCTTAGGATTACTTATCACCACATCCTCCCCAGACGGATTTTTCAAAGCTGTTACATAGCAAGATTTTGCCATCACCTGCCCTCCGTGAACCATTTCAACAGCTCCTAAATTCGATACATAAGCTATCGTCAGATGGTATGTCGATACAACTGCTTGGTCATCATGAATTATCGGTCTACCGATAATGCCATTATAAGCTGATGGGACATTGACCACTAAAAATTCCGCCATCACATCTCTCACAGTCGACCCATCACCCAACCGTACCGGCAAAATTATGCTTCCTTCTGGTCTCACTGTCGATCCATTGAGCCCAATAATCGGGTAAGATACCTGATTAGATACTGCCTCCCAATCATCATTTCATGAAAAGCTTTCATGAACAAGACCCTTCGCAGAGCTGCCCCCATCCACCAAGACTCTCTTGACATCATCTCCATTGATCTTTGTTATGAGCACTAGTGGGTCTTCATGTGGAAATACAATGCCCCTAGCGTCTTCTTCCGTAAATACGACATCTAGGATTGAAGCTGGCCGAGGGCGGTTGTCGGTATCCAGGGCATTGATGATGTGACGATGCTCAGACAGATGTTTCTTGGCCCCACTAACTGTTCCTCCATGAACCGGCCCCCCAGTTATCACATCTACCCCTCTTCCTGTTGATAGGGGAGGAATTCCACCACCTCCTTGTCGGACCACTCCACCTTGCAACCTTTCAGGCCTTGCCTCCAACTACGGTCTTTTTACGTGCCGGGGAGGTGGTTGAGCTCCTCTCGCACTTAACCGATACTGAGTCAAGTGTCCTTTCCTTATCAATTCTTCAATATTATCCTTCAATTGTGTGCACTCTTCGGTATAATGACCCACATCTCTATGAAACATCCAGTACTTCTTAACATCTCTTGGTCTTGCCTTCATCGGAATCGGCCTTGTCCAGCCTTCTCTATTCTGATTAACTGAATAAATTGCTGCTCTCGGTGTGTTCAAGGGCGTATATAAACTGTACCGCATCAGCGGTTTTGCAACTCTGATCTCCTGCCGATTTCCCCCTCCCGTTCCTGGGGTCGAAGTTCTCGGCCTTCCACTTCCAGAGGCTGCCCCTTCATATTGATGTTGACCTTTTCCAGCAGCTACATTCTTAATACTCGTTTTCATCAATTCTTCACTCTTGATATAATCATGGGCTTTGTTAAATGCAGCCGCCAATGTCTGAAAATTCTTTCGTGTAAGATAACGCTTAAACTCGGAATCATTTAAGCCATTCATCAATGCCATCACAGCTATCTCTTGTTGAAATTTCGGGATCGTATTCGCCTCATTATTAAACCGTATGATATAATCCCTTAGAGACTCATCCGGCCTTTGCTCTACTGCCATCAACTCCCCTGATGTTCTCTGCCGCACACTGTTACTAACATACTGTCCCACAAACACCTCGGTAAACTTCTCGAAACTATCTATCATTCCATTTTCCAGGTTATTGAACCAATCGGCTGCAGCCCCAATTAACGTAGTCGGAAAGACTTTGCACCACACAGCATCTGAGTTTGTGTAGAGCATCATATGCCCTTCGTATGATGTTATGAATCTACCTGGGTATCCTCTTCCGTCATACCTACAGGTCGGCATCTTAATTTTTTCCATCGGCTGGTCTAAGATACTTTGCGCAAACGGTGATGCTCTTAACTGTACCACAGTTCGCGGTACCTGTCCTTCAACCTGAGCACTTCTCTGCTGATGGGCTCTTGTAATAACAGTGTGGCTCGATGATTTCCCCTATATTTGACGCGGTGTGGTATGTGTCCTTACCAGCGTTTCTTCCCGACGGTGCCTTGGTGAATTCATTGCTTGATTGAACTGTTCACCGTGATTAGCTAGTGGCACCCCCCTTCTGCCTGAGCCGTTTAAGCCTCTTTTCTCTTTTTACTCATTGCAGTCATTACTCTTGCTGCTACTTGCAATTCTTCTGGTGTAAACTCCGCCATGGGGTCTACTGTCGTTCCCACTTGCCTTTCCGGAGTTAACGGCATGTGGAACTGATTTTCTTCCAATGTATGTGTTTCGTCTTCTACCTCAATTACTGGGTGTGTTATAATCGGTCGATTTACCGTTTTGCTTATTATTGGTGTTGCATTTTTTTCGGCCATAACTATCGTTACTTTGTCTGTTAGGTTCTTGGGCGATAGAAGTAATCACTAGTCCCCTCCTTCTAGCGCCAAATTGTTTCTGTCTGGGTCCGATAGCCCGAGAATCCGAACCCGAGATCCCGATACTCCTATCGACAAGCTGGGAACCTACACAATGAACAGAAGTTAGCTAGCCCCGGGGTGATCCGGGGATAACCACTCCGATGGTAAAGTTAGAATGTGTTTAAGAGAAGGTAAGTAAGAGAGAGAAAGTAGAGAGAGAAAGAGAGTGTAATAAATGCTTACCATTTAGTGAAGCTTAATCTACTGTTTATAATAAATTTCATGACAGGTGGCTATAAGTCATGCAAGGCTTTTCTCGCCAAGTGTCAATGATAAAACTGCCACGTGCCAAGTATCGAAAAGCCAATATGGTCGATATGTCTGCTTTTTGGAGCATATCGGCCCTTGTCACATATCATCCCATGGAACTACTTCTTTAACAACCGGAAAATGTGAACATCAAAGACAGAATTATTCTTGTGACCCAAATTTCCTTTCTGAAGCAGCTCAAATACACAAACGTCATGCTCCTCGAGATTGTTCTCTATAACAAAAGTCGACCACCCTGGTCTGAACTGACATTGCAAAGGTGTCCATCTGCATCCCACTGTCCAGCTCTCCTCTACTCCTGGACCCGAAGTATGACATCATGATCAGACTTCTGAAGCAAGTGTTTTACAGCCCATTCTTTAGGGATGGTCTACAGCCACAGTAAACCAAACTAGCTTAGATTTGATTATTAAAAGATGTTCTACTTTTACAATGAGAGTAGTAAAAAGGTTATGATAATTATGTCACTCTTATTAGATTAGGTCCTTAACGTGAGAAAGTAAATTACTATGAAAAACTAGGTGTATAAGGATGCCATACCAGATGAAAGCCGCGATAAACATGTGTGTGCTTCATCACAATTTCAATCATATGACATCTCCAACTCATATGACTAATGGCCTTGTTAAGTGCACCTTGCTTCTCTTGCTCTGTAACCTTCTGCCTCCTTGATTTGTAATACTTTTGAGGTTTTCTCACTGCAAATTAATTAAATCGCAATTGCATGCACTTAGAGGTATAGATATCAAATAAATGAACCAATCACACTAGCAATGATTGCAGTTATAAATTCTTGTTGAAAAATGTTTAATAGATTTTATACCTTGAGGTGTTCCACTTCTCACATTCAGACGAAGTTTATGAAACCTCTTCTCGTGATCAGATAATAATTCCAGATCTTCCTCTTCATGTATCTTCCCTTTTGCTTTCCCTTTATCTGCAGCATTACATATTGCACTCTGACTACCTCTGAAATTGTTTTCTTGAGATGAAGCATTACATATTCCTCATCCACTGCATGCAATTACTTCTATTGAGCCATCAATATCAGCTTCCAATGTTCTTGCTCCTTTAGATTCATCGTTCTCCACGTGTAAAAGGCTTCTACAAGAAGTGTTCAAGGACATGTTTGTATTCCTTGTGAAGTGCGGACATTCTACCTCACATCCAGTAACATCAAAACCGATACCTCAAAAGAAGAGTCCCCAACATAGCAAAAGACCAAGAAACAACCATACTTAATACCATGATCAGTAACGAAGATACCCCAGCCATCTGCAAATAGGACATCTTTCTCAGTTTTTTGTATTTGAACTTTCCATATATTCCTGCTTTGACCTCTTAGAGTGCAAGAGCTTGAAAGGTCTTCCCTAGAGCATTCAACAAATTTTCTAAGAATTCGCTACAGAAATTTTAATCAAAAATCAACTGTGTTAGATCTAATATATGACTAAAGTATTAGTAATAGGAATTCTTTTAGGCCTATAAGGTGTGTTAACTTACCGAGGAAATTCAAGTTAATCAGGCTGATTCACAACTTGTGCAAATCAGGGGTTAATTTTGTCTTTTCAGTCATAAATTGTAAGGGTACTCTTGTCAAGTTGTCAGCACAAACATAACTAGGCAAATGTAAGGTTAGTCAAACAAACAGTAATATAAAACTAGAACCTAGAAACCAGAATTCGAAAACCTCACTTCTTCCTTCACGGCACGGTGGCACCATAGCTTATTGCAGTTTAAATTGCTGACGCGAATGGAAGGCTTTCCCTAAGGGGTTGATATGGCCCTAATTTACACTCTTTTCTAGTAGGGTGTCTTTTTGTTTTGCTGCGAAACGGCCATTGTTGAGGAAGGATAGGACGACAGGAAAAAGAGGAGGACGGCGGGAAGGATTTTGTGGGTTTAACCGGCAGAAGGCGGAGAGATGGTGGTGGATCTGATGGGTTTCGGATGGTGGAAGATCTAATAATACGGTGATGGACCAGATGGCGGCTATGGAGCCTATGGTGGTGCTGGTGTGCTGCAGCCTGCAGGTGGAAGATTGGAGATTCTCAAAAGGAGAAGATGGTTTTAAAAATAAAAATAAAAAAAATTGTAAAAACAAAAATTAAAAAAACCAGACGTTAGTTAACACCGTAGCCTTCAGCAATATTTAATTAATTTATCTGGTAAGAGGGGCCCACAAAAGCAACTGATTGACAAAGTTTCGTCAATCAGGCTGATTGCCTGGGGCGCCCCCTAACTTACCAGCTGTTGCTCAAAATTACCAATCATCAACTTGAAAAACCTGTGCTTCCTAGGTGGAAACTCATGCCAATATCTGTCCTTCTCTAAAGCCTTACAAGTTTCATAAACATATGTCATTTTGCTTTTAACTTAAAATACACTTCAACGTATCAACCACCTAAGACACCCAACAAAAAAAAAGCATTCAGATCAATAAAATACTTCTTGAAATCCTAGGAGGGCTGCCCAGTTGATCTATTTGATTAACAAACTTTGTCAATCAATTACGCCACATAAGCAATTTAAGTGACTAGTAGTTGACTCAACCAAATGTAGGTACACGTCGGTAATGTTACGAACTAGACTGAAGTGCTTTGTCGTTAGTGCTCGAGTATTGTAGGTAACCATGGTTAACGTTTGCTTTTAATTATCGGTGGTTGGTTCATATAGACATAGTCAAATGTAGGTAGTTGACTGATATTTATTCCCTTCCAAGATTCATACTGTTGCAAATATGTAGAAAAAATTGGGGTATGCGTTCTTGAGTGACCGAACATAGTAGTGAGTGATCCAAACACATGCAGAATTTCATCGTGGGTACATTTTGAGTACCAATAACCTCGAAGAACCCAGATCTAACATAATTGCACAGGATTACCATTTTTTGAAGGTTAGCATCGATTATCAATTGTAGTGTTTTTTTTGTACAAAGTTGTAATTCTGCTTATAGTCAAATTTTTACAAATATTTTATGTAGCTAAATTAGTTCAAGGGTTATTAATTATTATAAGGAACGAAAGTCTTGGTTTGAGGGTTATTGTTTTTAGAGGTTGATGATTTTTCTAGGTAGTCTAAGAAATTAGGAATTTCTTAGTAAATTGAACTAATTATAAGGGTATTGTGTATTACAATCAATAGTTTATATATAATACATGGTTACCTAGTACTGATGAGGATAGATAAGAGAAATTTTTTTTGACGCGAGTTTATTTTAATTTTATCTAATTTTTTTAAATCTCCCGGAACAGAAATAAATTTTTCAGATCGTTAAAAATATTTGTTTATATATGACCGTGTTTTCGTACTTGGTAGTTGATGTAGCTAATAAATTGAATGGTGATCTGTGTTTGTGATCTGTATTTCATGCAGGTAAGTATTTTTTTAGAAACAGTTAGACAAAATGGCTGATAGTTAGGGTGATACGATGGGTGATAGTATGCTTGATAGAGTGGAATCTGAATGTGATGAAGTTGAAGGTTATGAAATTGTGAGTGAAGATGGGTGTGGGGGGCAGAATGGAGATCGATTTTTGTCTCCAAAAACCACGACAGGAACTGGATGCAATGTCGTTGGCAATAATAATGCCAGTGAGGATAGCTTTGTTGAACCCCCTAGTGTTGGAATGATTTTTAAGAGTTCGCAAGATGTTGAGGCTTACTACAAATCATATGCTGAACAACAGGGTTTTAGGGTTACTAGGGCTCAAGGTGTGTATTTAAAAGGAGAGGTTAGAGACCGTACTGTAACAACATGGAGGTGTGAATGTTGGGGTAGACTGTACCTGACATGAGAGCCGTGAGGGAAGCGAAGAAGAGGGCAAAGGCTATGGATGTAACTGGTCCTGGAGTAGTTGTTGGTGGTGTCGCGTGTGTGGATGAGCTGAGCCAAAGAAAGAGAAAGTCGAAAAAATGTGAGTGTCTGGCAAAGGTATATGCTAGTATTAACAATGCTGGGGAGTGGGAGATCAAGAAAATGAAGTTGGAACATACGCACGATGCTACCCCGCGTAAGGCAAGTTTAGTGAAATAGTATAAAATGAAGGGCCTAACATCTAGAGCTAGGAAGAGGTTGTTGGACTATTTCGAAGAAGATGTGCCTATATCCCAAATTCACGGTTGTTGGTCCGCTGAAGTAGATGGGTTTGAAAACCTACGCTTCACCGTGAAAGACTTGGCTCATGAGGTGTACAAGGCCAGGAGGCTGAAAATGTTAGGGGGGTGATGCAAGAACACTGATGACTTATTTTAAGAAAATGCAAGAAGGCAACACGAATTTTTTTCATTCTGTTCGCTTAGACCCAAAGGGCAGGTTGAAAGATGTAATTTGGGTCGATGGGCGTAGTCGGGCTGCATATGAAGAATTTTGGGATGTTGTATGTTTTGATGCTACCTATCTAACAAATGTGTATGCATTACTGTCGACACCTAAAAATGTCTCCCCAAAACAAAACCCGTTAATGAACACCTTTCACGTCATTATTGGTCGGGTTGAGTATTTAATCTTTGGAGTTCTTAAATCCGTGTTCTATCCAATATATATTTTCATGAACCAATCCAATTTCTAGCTCATTTCCCTAAACCATAACCTATTTTCCACTTTTCGTGTCCACATTGCAAAACCGAGAGAAACTGATTCTATGGCTATAAAATTTTGATCTAATTATTATTTTTTTGGATAGGCCTTTAAATAAGCTTTCCAACCATATATCATAAGCCCAATTCCGAGCTATAACGAAAAAGTTATGAGCAAAACACTAAACTCGGCCTAAAATTGACACCCTTCCACTAAAACGGTCATATCATTAAATATAAAAATAATTTGACCTGATTTTAATTGGGTTGGAAAGTATACTTGATAAGATTTCCAATGATATATTATATGTCTTATTCCAAATTACGGATCAAAAGTTATGATTATTTTAAAAACGGGTAAAAAACTGAAATTACCGCGCAGCAGCTAAAATGTCGCGACGCGGCAAATGCTGACATGTCACGGGGCTTATTCCCGTGACACGGTGCCCTTTTTTGTAATTTTGCACAGTTTTCTCCCGTGTCTCGGGATTTTGCACCGTGTCACGGTGCAATTTCCCGTGTCACGGTGCCCATTCCGTGACACGGGGATATTCCGTGTAATTTCCGCATACTTTTTACACCGTGACACGGCATACTGCACTGTGCCACGGTGGACAATGCCGTGTCACGAAATTTCTTCCCGTGTCACGGTGCACATCCTGTGACATGGGATTGCTCCTTGTTTTCTCTGCGTAATCCCTAAACGCGTTTTCACTTCCCGTAACCTAAAGATTTCCCGCGTCACTCAGTTTTTCCCCGTGTCACGGGATCTTCCCCCATCTGACGGTGCCTGTCACCGTGTCACGGTGCTCTTTTCTGTGACATGATATTATTTTTTAGGGTTTTTATCTTTTTAGGGTTCCGCGTGTTCCCTCTGCTCATTTTCCCTATAAATAGGACCCCCCTTTCTGCAGTTCGGGGCACCAATAATGATTCTCTCTCACCTTAGACCAAAATTCATTCTCTTATCCCTCTTTAACCTAATTTCTAGCTTCCTTATTCATCCATAATAATTCCTCTAAGCGCTCCACGGAGTCCATACTTAACCCGAGGTTCCGTCCTTAAACCAAGGCGTGAAAGCAATTTAAAGGAACGCACGGAATGTGAGTAATTAATTAATTTAATTATTTATTTTATTTTTATATTGCTAGTATCATGATTAGGGCTATTTTATATTTGATTTGACTAACGCTATTATTGTTAAATTGCTTCCAATATTAATGTTTATTCTATTGTTATTATTGATCACTATATTGCATGTTTAAAGGGAATATGTAATTGAAAATCACGCCTAATAAGATAATTTGGACAACCGGTTTAGGATCCTTTTTAATCTTGTTGTTTAATCAAGTGATCATAATATTTTAGAATTATGTGTTGCATTAAAATTTAGCTTGATAATAGTTTGGAGCAAATTGAATCTCTATTTGTATGCCTTTGAGATCGCAGGAATCGCTTTTCACTATAAGAATCGAGTAGAGGCCAATACGGGCAAATGTGACTCCATGACTCACTTCGTACCATCATCCCCGATCCTCCTTTCGTGATTCCGAACCATATAGAGTTAGTAATCTCATGGATTATGAATGGGGTGTAACCTTCACGGGTCAATCGTTGTTGCCTATCGTTGTCCCTTAATCGTGGTTTCCTTTTATGATCCGTGAATGGTTTACAAGTTCCTTAAAAACTTGTTGGCGGCTCCCTACTTTCCTTGTCCCTAATCGTTATCCCTAATCTTAATGTCAATTCCCACTTCCTATGAGTGCCAAGCATATTCACCACATGCTTTTAACGTAGGCGCACTTCGAGCGAAGCCTACAATTACCATTTGTTAATTTCGTGGGTGTAAACCATCATGGACAAACCATACTGTTGGAGTGTGCATTGGTTTCCTATGAGGATTGTGATAAATTTGATGGATTTTTCAGGAGTGGTTGTCATGTATGAAAAACAAATCCCCAGGAGCAATTTTAACTAATTAGGCTGCGGCCATGAGGAAGCCCTTAGAAGAGGTGATGCTCGAGGCGGGCATCGATGGTGCATCTGGAACATTATGAGAAAAATACCAGAAAAACTAGGCAAATGCAAAGGGTTAGTAAATTTATATTCTTCTTTATGGATAGTTTATATATTGAATTAAATCCTAATGTCTAACGGTTTACAGGTACAAAGAATTCAAACCTGTGCTAAAATCAGTTGTTTATGAAAGTTTGACTATTGAAGAGTTTGAGAATCATTAGAAAGAGTTTATAAATGACTACAGCTTAGAAAACAATGATTGGTTGTCAAACCTTTATACCGAAAGGCATTTGTGGGTTCCCGCATTCTTGAGAGACTACTTTTGGGGGGTATGAAGACAACTCAACGGGTGGAAAGTATTAATAGTTTTTTTGATGGATTTGTAAATCAGACCACTAAGCTTTTTGAATTTCCAATTAAATTTGCAAAGGCGATGAAGAAGAGGGTACGGGACGAGACAGATGCTGATGCTAATTGTGCTAAGTATGTAAGGAGGCTAGTGACTGGTTTTAAGGTTGAGAAGTATTTTCAATGGGTTTACACAGACACCAAGTTCTAGGGTGTGCAGACTGAATGTACTCGAATGATGTATTGCTATTGTAAAGAAAGTAAAAGTTTAGCTGAAAACATAATTGAGTATGATGTAGAAGACCGTGTGTGGATTGTGCCAGAAGGTAAGAGTGAGGAAGTCATAACCGATCGCCAAAGGTATTTCAAAGCCATATTCAACAAGGATACTTTGGAGGTTGAGTGTGAATGCCGCAAATT